TGCTACCACTGATTACAAATATTGAAACAGTTTTTCTGAAACCGCGTGCACGATTCAAACCGGCTGCCTTCAACGTTCGCACACTAATGCAGATCAAACAACAGATAGGGTTGTCTTCCCTTAAACTAAGAGATTAAAATCACTTCATATCTTTCTACGAACCAATTCTTTCTTCTTGTACTATATCTCTATATGCAATCTTTCTCCTATATATTACCACCTTTGACCTAATCACTGCTATGAATCCGGTGTTCATCTTGTTGTGTTGATGCAGTATGGCAACCTGGACCGATGCACATATGTGCCTGGTCCTACGTTGTAGCTGACTGACTGACTAGGGCTGGTTATGTCTAGAGAGTTTTAATATCGATGTCTGCTGTCTATCTGAGACCCGTATTCAAGACTCTGATGAAGTACTACAAATTCGCTCTCCGTCTGTCACTTCGAAAAGCTTGTTTTACGTGCGCTTATCCGGGGACCCTGTGGCATCTTCATCTGATCTTGCTGGCGTTGGTGTCGCACTAAGCGCTAGAGTACTGAAGCAGTTTTTCTGAAACCACGTGCACCATTCAACGTTCACACACTTATGCAGGTTGGACAACAGAAAGAGCTGATGTCGCACTAAGCGCTAGAGCTGAGGCAGCACTAGTCGATTGGATCCCCATTAACAGTCGGTTATGTGCTGTTAGATTAGAAAGTTCCATCAAAGTGAGAATAAATCGGCGTGAGAAACAATGTCTTTTCGTCATCTCCGCCTATGCCCAGACAGATTGCAACCCGGATGCAATCAAGGATGAAGTTTACCACCAGTTATCTGTTCTTCTCCAGAAAGTGCGTCCGACAGATATTGTCGTACTAACCGGAGAATTCAATGCTCAGGTTGGGCGTCTAGGCACAGAAGAGAGTCGTTTAGGTGGTCGATGGGGACTTGTTGGTCGCAGGACAGATAACGGGGACCGTCTACTGCAACTGTGCACAGACCACAACCTGTTTCTGGCTAGCAATAACTTTCGGCACAGTCATCGCCAATGTGCCACCTGGCGTCCTCCCTCTGCATCTCAAGCCTGAACTCAGATGGATCACATCGCGATCAGCTACCGCTGGCGTAGTTGTGTACAAGACTGTCGCTCCTTTTCGAGTACCTATCTGGACTCTGACCATGCCTTGGTCTGCGCCAACCTTACCTTAAGTTTTAGTGCCAACGAATTCATCGTCCTGAACTGTTTGATGTCAGTAAACTGGTCGCCGCTTCTGTTGCAACTAAGTATCGAACCGAGCTAGCTTTTAGGCTAACTACCATTCCACCGAAAAGTATAGATGAGCATTGGTTGCAACTTCATGACGCCATGAAAGTGGAGAGTAAAGCCGCTTGCGGCTTCGCGAAACGTCCCGCTTATAAGCACTGGGTTTCTTCAGGCTCCTTACAACTCATTGAAGCCCGTCGGTCTACTCCGGGTGACCGTGAGTTTGACCATAAACGAAGGATATTACGTAAGGAAATTGGGCAAAGCTTGCGTAAGGACCGAGAAGCCTGGTGGTCGATGCGTGCTAATGAGCTGGAAGCAGCAGCTGCATCTGGTAACTACCGGAAGCTCTCCCAGCTCATCCGAGCCACTGGCAGCAAGAAGTCTGGTGTGAGTGAAACGATCTGCGAGGATGATGGGATGCCAATCACTAACATCCATCGACGTCTTAAACGATGAGCAGAATTCTTCGAAGGGCAGTTCAACTCGCCTGCTGCTCCGGCAACACCGGTCAGACTGTCCTGCCCTCCATGGCCGGTGACGACTGATCCACCAAATGAGGCGGAAGTCCGCAAGGAACTCCAACTCTTGAAGTGCTACAAATCACCTGACCCAAGTGACTTACCTCCGGCTCTTTTTAAAGATGGTGGTGACTTTCTGACTAAGGAACTGACGACGTTGTTTACAAAGTTTTGGGAGCTAGAGAGTGTACCAACGTCATGGAATGAGTCGATAGTTGTCCCTATCTTTAAAAAGGGTTCACGTCGTTCTTGTAACAACTATCGGGGGATAAGTTTACTTCCGATTGCGTCCAAGCTATTGGCTTCCGTCATTCTTCGTAGGTTGTTCAAAACCCGAGAAAGATTGACTCGCCAGAAGCAGGCTGGTTTTCGTTCTGGTCGAGGATTTATCGATCATATCTTCACCCTCCGCCAAGTGTTAGAATACCGCCATACTTATCAAAGGCCAACAATCGTAGTGTTTCTTGACATCAGGACTGCCTTCGATTCGTTGGATAGGACTGTTCTCTGGGATTGTCTATTGAAGAAGGGTGTGCCTGAGAAGTTTATTAACATCCTAAAAGCCCTATATGCAAACACCTCAGGCACAGTGAGGGCATACAACTACCTCTCTCCATTGTTCCATTCGAGCAGTGGGGTCAGACAGGGTTGTCCAATCTCACCATTCCTCTTCAACTTTGCCATCGATGACATTTTGGAAACAGCTCTGATGGATGTAAGTAATGGCGGTGTGGATCTGTTGCCTGTAAAAAGACTTCTCGACCTTGAGTATACGGATGATATTGTCTTACTGTGCGATAATGCCCAAGCCATGCAATCCGCACTTAATCAGTTGGCAATCAGTGTCCGCATGTATGGTATGTGCTTTGCACCTTCGAAGTGCAAAGTACTTCTACAAGACTGGCAGGATTCCAATCCTGTACTCACCCTGGATGGTGAGCAGATAGAAGTAGTTGAGAAGTTCGTGTATCTGGGTAGCTGCATAAGTACTGGTGGGGGTGTGAGTGATGAGATCAGTGCACGAATAGTGAAAGCCAGAGCGGCTTATGTCAATCTGGGCCACCTTTGGCGCCTTCGTGATGTTAGTCTGGCTGTAAAAGGTCGGATCTACAACGCGTCGGTGAGAGCAGTTTTGCTCTATGCTTGTGAAACCTGCCCTCTCCGAGTTGAGGATGTTAGACGTCTCTCTGTGTTTGATCATCGTTGTCTCTGAAGGATTGCTGACATCCAGTGGCGACACCATGTCAGTAATGAAGAGGTTCGGCATCGTGTGTTCGGGCACAGAGATGATAATTCAATTGGTGTCACCATCTTGAAACACCGACTTCGGTGGCTTGGGCATGTTCTACGAATGTCGTCCCAGAGAATTCCACGTCGTGCATTATTTACGGACGCGCGGACTGGTTGGAAAAAGCAGAAAGGTGGTCAGTGTATGACATGGTGTCGCGGAATAAAAGGAAGCTGCAAAGGACTGGCTTCTGTCGGTCCTTCACGACTCCCTGGTTGAGGTCCGAGAGATGGTGCAACACAGTGGCTAGAGATGTTATCAGATATGGCTCAGAATAGAAGCCGGTGGCGATCCTGCTGTAACCTTCTTTTACTTTCTTCATAAAAAGTGGTTGTATCTTCCTTAACTGAAAGAATCCTTCTGGTTGAACCTTTCTGTTTCTCGCATTATTATTATTATGATTACACTATCATACACTAAGCTGTGGTCGTTATTGTTCTTTGTTATTTCTTATACGCACCTTACCTTCTTTCTTACTCCCCATTCTCATTGCTTTGTGTGGCACATGTATATTTGGTGCCCCCGTGTAGCAATATTTGTGTTCAAATAAATAAATTGTTTGAATAATTAATAATACTAATAAACCACAGAAAATAATGCGGTCATGTGAACTTTCAATTATAGGTAAACAATTGTCAGACGTTTTTCAAGTACATTAGTGGCAAACAAAAGTGATTATTCTAATTTGGAATTCTCTAGATAGAGAACACAGGAATGAAAAATCGTCCGAATATTAGGATCAGCGGTAACTTGTATGGATAGAGACTGTCAAAAGCTAACTTTTTGACCTCTTTAGTATTCGTCTCGTGCTAATGAGATGTGGCTAACCCACACTAGTGCCAGACTACATTGCTTACGAATGAGTTGCTACTATTTCAATAATCATATTTTGGACATAAATCTTTCTATCCCTTATTATATCAGTAAAAATCAGAACTGTAGAATACGAAACAAGAATGATTAGAAAATGACGAGGGTCACTTGGAGAAAGACGTGACAACAAGCAGAGAACATTTAGTTTACCTAGGTAAAATCCAATGAGGAAATATAGGTAATATTTTCTATCAAAACGCGATATGCATTTCAGCAACCATTGACCCATATATTGTCTATTGCACCTGCCACTAGAAGTGAGTTTCTTTTTGTGCTCCATCGGGAAACTTGACTCTGAATTCACATCTCAATCTCTGCCTAAGCTTACGTCGAATAGCCTAATTTCCTCCTAAATGTTGCCTACTTCCACACTATCTCCCGAGGGAGACTAACTTACGACGCAGTTTGACTGGTTTGGACGTTCGATTTTCACTTGATAAACCATCTATTTGCAAATATTTATACAGTAGTTTGACAGAATATCAGCATTGGTACATTGATGCAAGTTTAGGCGGAGATTGAACTGTGAATTAAGAGATATTTCTTTAATGAGATATAGGAAAGGATTCACCATTTCTCCCAATGCATATGTAAAAGATATCTGTAAACATTGCTGCTGAAGTGCATATCAATTCTTGCTAGAGAGTCCTACTTTTAGTTCCTTGCTATCGCTTGTTTGTAATTATACGATTGTAAACGAAAACAACCCAATCACCCTATTTTCCGGAAAATTTTTATCTACCATGGGTGAATTTTGGGGGAAACTGTAATAGAAAACTATGCGATAATTTCGGGTTTTTTGTGCCATTTCATCGAAGTTTTCCCAGGCCTGAGAAAAATCCCCGAAGTTTTGAAAAAGTTCGGGTTTCATCTATTAATTCGCAAGAATATTACCTAATGATAGGGAGATTGGGAACAGTTGCCAGTAGTGCATGTTTAGTTTTCGCGAACCATATTTTTAAACCATATTGTTTGACCAAGCTTCTATAATTGTAAGACAGTTTATTACTGAATGTAACACCCTAAATTCTACAATATTTACACCAAAGTCAATATACATGAAACGTTACTGACCTGTAGCCAGGTTTTTTCAAACATGATAGAGGCCTACATGTCCAATGCCCAATACCTTTGTGACCAGTTCGTTCAAACCAATGTTCTTTTTTACATCTGTGACCTGGGTTTAGAGATTAGTTTTGATTTTTTTTCGGTATCCATAGGGGCCAGAGTGGTCATTCGATTATAATAACCCTGTTTGACTTCCTGCATCCAAATCTTGTGACGAGCGTGTACGAGCCTGATTGAGTTCTTGGCTCTCACCTGTTGTTATTCCGATACGGTTCCAAGTCTTTGACGACATCCAATCAGCAGTGGTTAAGCCACTAAAATGCAATAGTTTTTGTCAGTTTGGCAATTATTTGCTGGTCAATGTATTTTGTATATCTTGGTCGTTTGGAACAGTATGCATTGAGGTGGATTGATTACACTTGTCTCTGATCATAAGGATTGCCAGAACCCGTAACCTCTGCATAATGAGGAAATGGTTTGTTTGTTAGCACTGAAAATAGTTAGATGTGAATTGGAAGAGTGAAAAAGTTCAAAACGAACATGCGACAAACAAATCAATTTTATAAATAAATGATAAATATCCAAAAATCATAATTATTGGTTATGAGCAAAATAATGCGGGAATGGGGAGAGAGGGGACAACGAAGGGCATGGTGAGGGTAACACTGATGATTATGTATGTGGGTTGCGACGGGCATCCGACAGTCGAGAATGAATGCAAACGAGGTTCAGAGCTGTTTGTAGCCAGAAGTAACGTGGTAAATGCATAAGCGGTGGGTTGAAGACGTCAGATTAGAAACATTATTTTGTGCTTCTTAATAGTGTTCCCAGATGACAAAGTTAACAGGCTTCCAGAAAATGACTACAAATAATGTTGAAGTATCGAAGGCACTACTGAAGACGCAGCACGAAGTCTTATGTTCCGTGTATGTTTTTGGTGGTATAAGTTGAGGGTTCCGAGAAGGAGAAAGAAAAACAAAACGACGAGGAACAGGACAGACAATGTTCGTGACTGGTGAATTTGAGTCATATAAGATGGGGTAGTTACGATACAACGACTTAGGATTGCTTACCTCAATACGTCAATCTTCATTCATATGTATTTAGACAAGTTAAAGAAAACAGACCAAAAATATGATAACGAACTGACGAGGAACTACATGAATGGAGGAAACTCAAAGTACATGGAAGTTTAAGCTTAAGTAGGCCTCTAAATTACAATAAGCAAAACACTGTGTTTGGATATACCGACGAATTTTCTTTCATAGTAACCCCTATTACACTTTTTGCTATCATAACTCTTATAAAATCATGAGTGGACTACCCAAATGCGTAATTGCCAAGTTTATTGCGAACCAGTTTATGTTCGACCAATCAAACCAACTATCAGCCTAAGCTGTTTCTAATCCATACGACAGACAACTGAATGTCGGCCTTGTCACTTAGTTGATCCAAAGCCTCTGAAATTGTATCTTTGCTGTTTGTCAATGGTACTCAACAATCGGAAATTAGGCAACCAGTGGCCGGAATAAAAGATATTAGGCGATAGTCTATAGTTTAAAAATTGAGCAAAATGTTGGGTGGAGCAAGATTAAAAATTAAATCCAGGTAGAAATCCAGTCTTGCTTTCATTGCTACACAATATGCATTTATGTCAATTAAATACCACATTTGCCAAGATTGCAGATTTGCAATGATGTGAAAACTTGATCTGTAACATATTACGTTGCTGTCACGTCATTGCCCACACGAACTGTCACTATCGTGAAAATCAGAAATATAACCCCTAATACTTCTGAACACCCGTTACCATGATGCTCACTGCCAGCTGGTGTTGGAGATGGTTGGAAGAAAGTTAGGGGCGGCCAAACCAAAACGTGGCATCAGTGCTTGAAGTCACTAACTTCTAGTCTGAGCCATGTTGGCAGATGCAGACTACTTGGTTGGGGTCCGCGTGACTATCGTAACCAATGGTTTGAGACTCTTGGTGACATGGCTCAGAATCGATCACAATGGCGTCGGTGTATACACTCTCTGTCTGCCCTCAAACTAAGAGATTAAAATCGCTTCATATCTTTCTTTCTACGAACTAATTCTTTCTTCGTGTACTATATCCTTATATGCTATCTTTCTATTATATATTACCACCACTACTTTTATGAATCCGGTGTTCATCTTGTCATGTTAATGTGGTATGGCAACTTGTTCCGATGCATATATGTACGTGGCTCTGCGTTGTAGCTGACTGACATATTCGAGATGTATTGTGAGTGAACCATCCAGTACAAAATGCAATAGGTTTTACATACAGTGACAACGCTTGGATGACCGAGAGATGCCACTTTGAATGATTCTTCCCATATTAACCATTACTAACCTTCTTCAAGCGTTACGTGTTGGGTGCCAATCTTTTCAGTAATTATATGTCCAGCTCGGAGAGTCGTGTGGTTAGGAACCAATAATACTGCAGTTCTACTCTATACACTTCCAATCTATTCTAACCAATGTATGCTGTTATTTCAAGTGGGATTGTTCAAACTAGCCGGTCACCAGAAGAGACGAATCAACCAGTTATCACGATAGATTGTACCATTCTATGATACCGGGTATGAAGGAATCACATCCCAAAATATAACGAGAGGAAGGAGTGTTACATTCGAGAGATTGGTAGGTCTATGTGCTTTCAACGACATGGTTATAAATCACAGCATTCTTTCCCACAAGCATATAAATTTACATCGACCGAACCACATATCATAAAGTAAGAACTCAGGTACGCTATTACTTTTTCTCATTAGGATTTGCCACAATCGGAATTCTATCCCAGCAGAAATAACCACAACTCTTTCAGTGGATAGCTTCATCTCCGTCTCCCCTCTCATTCTTTTAATTCCATCCTCTTACATATCATCAATTGAGTGTAATGATTAGTTTTTCTTGAAACAATCACTTTACTATTATTTGCATATGCAAACAACCAGTCTCGTAGTGTGATGGCTACTGGTATACAGAAACCCTACTCACAAGAGACAAACACGCTCGTTCGAGCTTGCAGATATGGAAATCCACAAATAACTACCAAGGTGATTAGAATTAGTGAAGTCGGGTTGTTAGAATATCAACCGCTGCACATTATCAAATGCCTGGAAGTGCAGTGAAACAACGAGAAGTATGGGTGAGTTAATCAGTTCGTACACGCTCGTGATGACGACATTAGATTTCGGCTGTTAAAAAGATGGCCACGTTGAGTCGAAATTTTTCACATTTTTTGTGCCAGTGACTTTGACAACCAATCAGATCCGTCCACTGATGGTGGGATGTGGGTCAATTTTGGCGTCACTTCATGATATTTTGTATGTTGTGCTTCATACTGAATCCTACTTCATCGATCTTGCCATTTTTGGGGGCTGCTGATGTTTGGAATGACCAGTAGTTGCTTCTATTCGCCATATGTTTGGCCTATTATGCTCATGTGAGCATGATTAAATCGTACATCATTTTCTATCATGTAGGGATTGACTGTATTTCAGATTTTCATCTTTCGAACGTAAAACAATAAATTCAGCGTCGCAAAAGTTGGGGTTACATGGTGTCGTGATATGCAAACCTTGTGGTTATTTCTGGTTATACCAGTAAACTGCACTCTCAAATGTTGGGACGATTCTTTGACTACTTTTCATGACTGCCGCTTTTCATGGGTTCGTTTCAGTTCTTTAGAGTCTACTACTTCTATGCGTCAAAATGCTGAAGTAAGACTATCAAACAATTAATGTGGTGTTTTATTCTTCGCAATTGAAAAGGATGTCCAGCTTACCTAAAAGGTTATGGTCAAATAAACCAAATATGCCTGGAATCACTCGAGCTCGTAAGATAATCCTGGGGAGTTGTAGTAAACTGCACAGCATTGAGATACTGTGACGACTTAGGTAATTTGGTTAAGGGTTGACCAAAAACATCTTAATAATGTCAAAAATGTTTAAATCAAGTATTTATTTACATCTTTACTTTTGATAGGTATTATATTTTCTATTATTTTATACTGAATATCGGATAATGTCGTGTGTTTTAAAAAGATAATCTAGGGGTCCGACTGTTATTTTTGACGACCAGAATATACACTCGTTAACCGCTAGTCTGGTCTCTTCTACCGATAGAGCAAGGGGTACCCACTAAAGTGCCTTAGCCGCCTGGCTTTGTCAGTTTTAAGTGGACTGTAGAATCTATCTTATAATGGCTTTTTGTGGAGCGCTAACGTGTGTTCTAGTTCATGCTCAAGCGTACTCCAGCATGCTTGAACGTTGGTTAATTTACCGTGGTTAAGTGTGTCAAATTAAACTGTCACCACTATTGTAAACTTATTTTTGTAATACGTGGGTTTACGGTCAATCTAATTTAGCCAGACTGGATGTTTACAACTACAAATCAAGGTGACTATTACCAACTCTATTAAGTCTCGATTTCTTGGACTTAAAAAAAATAAATTTTAAATTGCACGCACTACACGATTTTAAACTGATCGACCTGTTAACTACAAGGACAATCAGGTTACTACTCTTTCAGTGGTTGTAATCAAAGTGAAACTGGGTTAGCAAAGAAATTTTGTTAAAAAATAAAGTGTACTTTCAATTTATCGGAAAATTGCTATTATCTAGTTGCATAAGATTTTTTCTTGTTTGTTGAAACATGTTTGAAAATACTTTACAGTATATTATTAAACCACGCTTTTTATGTGTACACGTGAGTATGCCTGACGCCACAAGTTGCAGTAGTTTTATTCTTTAGGTTATATGCTGGTTTTAGTTTGACATACTGCTGTATCAGTGCTTAGTAGGATACATTACTCTTTGTACTGTGAAGCCTGGTGAAGTTAGATAGTTAATCTACAATGAACAAAAAAGTTTAACCACAAAGTGGTTTTCCAACATACTGTAGTGAAAGAGAACACAGGTGAGGACAACTGAATTATATTTAGCACAAAATTACAGAGTTACTTGGTAAAATAGAAAAACCATACTATACCACTTAATTTG